GGTTACATGCGCACAATAATCAGATAACTGGGAATAATCAGGTAATGGTAATAATCCGATTTGACGTGTTTACGTGCACTTCAATAATCTGATAATCAGAAAAACCTGGTTTACATGATTCAGTCCTTCAGTTGGATTTCTCCTCAAGTACATGACATAAAACTCAAACTTCCTGTTACAGTAGGTACTCATATCCTTGAAAAACCTCAAAAAGTACGCAAGTCATATATTTGCAAAATAAAGCACTCATCATGCTGACAGCTTATATTCTTACAGTACTGTTTGTTTTTATCATTAACAAATACATGTGAGAGCATTCTAATGTGTAGTTTATCAATGTGGAGCCAATTTTACATACTTTGGGTAGATTCGGAGTAAAAGTACTGCAGAGTGCAATATACAAGTGTATTGTATATAAACTTGTCACACAAAGTGCATAACATATAAGTAAGATAAAATAAAAGTGACAATTTAAACACTGAGAATATAAAAATATATTATTTTGTGTAAAATCTTTATCTGAAAGGAAACAAAAGCTGTCAGATTAACGTAGTGGAGTAGAAAGTACAATATTTCCCTCTAAAATGTAGTAGAGTGGGAGTATAAAATAGCAAAATCCGAAAGAAACCAAATTAAAGGGTATACATGCACCGAATAATCTGACTATTGGGGAAAAAGCTAGATGTGTTTATCTGATTTCTCATAATCAGATAATGGCTTTTATCTGATAAAGCCTATAAGATTATGCTGTTTACATGACCACTTGAATAATCAGGTAACTCCAGAAATCAGATAATGATAGGTTTATTAGTGTGCATGTAAACGCGCTCAGTGAGAGTGTGATAACTATCACCTTGTTAGTTCTTAAGGTTTACACACTAGTGGATACAAGTCAGTCTCCTTATAAGAAAACATAAAAACAGGCAGTGTTGATATTAGTTTCATGCCCCATGTTCCCACCGTCGACATGCACCTGCTCATCTATGCTGGGGTGTCTGTCTGAAGATGAATGACTTTTTGGTCTTTTGTTTGTTTTGGTGGATCTTCAATCCTTTTTCATTTCAGGTTGTGAGTGTACTGAGCAATAATGACATCCTGTGTGACCCAGTTTCTTCTCGGTCACTGTTATCGTGACCTTGACGGTCCAATGATGATGATGATGATGATGATGACCAAGCTGGTGTTGGTGTGCTGCACCACAACCACATATTTCACCCCAGTATTTTTACAGTTGGTTAAGTGTATTTTTCTCTGCTCTGCTCGAACTGAGCAGCTACTCAGAATAGATGGTTGTTCAAACACTGAGCTACCTGACTATTCCTGTCTCGGATGTTTTAGTACCTATTGTGTTTGCTATTTTCAGTGACGCCTTTCTTATCTTATAGTGGAAATACACAAGATTTTGTGCTTTTACTTGTCAGGATGAAGTAACTGTTGAATGCACAATGTGATGTGATACCTATAGAATAATGACACCATCTGTGTTCACTATACAATTCTGTCTGCCAGCAGGTTTCATCTCCTGGGAAAATTAAGGCTTGATTTGCGGCACAAAGGAAGTTCATTAACCAAAACAGGAAGAGGATAGCACCTCTGTTTTCCCTTGTAGCTATCAGTAGCTATCCCCAGTTACCAGAGAGTATCAGTGAAAGTTCTTTGCAGTTACTACTCGCAATAGCAGAAAAATCAGATGATGGAGCAACTGAAGTTACTGTGCAAACATTACAAAACTCAAACGAAAAAGAGCCCCGCTGCTAGACTCTGATGATGACAGAAAGCAATCTGACTGTCTTTGTGACGTCAACAACCGTACCTCTCAAAAACTCTGTGGGGTGCGGAGCAGCGCAGATGGGGTACAAAAGTTCTCTGTTACCACTTGAACTGAGTGTCTAAAAATCAAGGCTATCATATTACTTTTATTGCTTCAAAACATTGTTCTCTAAAGGCCTTGAAGATGAAAATGTGAATAAGCTTGGCTAGGGAAGTAAAAAAAAGTCAGATTTGAATTGGTCATTTGAAAGAGAATTTTGAATAAGATACCCCTTGATTAAAAAAGAAAAAGATAACAGATATCACATACAGCCTCAATGTAATTTATAGCCAGTATTATTCACATGTATAAGTGACATACAGAGACAACACATTCTGGAGTACACAGATACATACAGACCTTCATATAAACACACACACACACTCTGTCTTGTCAGTGGGATGCAGCAGAGCTGCAGCAGGGAGACCATCTGTGTATTACACTGATCCAAAACAAGCATTTCAACACTGCTTTAGTGCTGACCAGATAATATGTGACAGGTATGAGGGCGCCTCTCTGGAGCGTGTTTGTGTGCTACTGGGCTGTACACCAGTAGAGAAACTATATGTTTTTTCTGTTAACAGGAATTGTCGGTGAGTTTAAAAGGGAAAAGTGTGATTTAGTGATCTGATTCTGGCATCGCCTCGTGTCTGCCACTGAGAGAGTCTTGTTGTAATTAACACAGGACTGACGACTGGGATACGTTCAACCCGAATTTAAATACTTGGGGGACGAACTCCCCACTTGCTGATGCTGTGAAACATGCAGATCATTTCAGTAAGTCAGCATAGATGACACAAATGCAGTCCTGTGTGATTTACACTGGTAAAGACAAGAAATAGAGTGGTGGAAAGATTTGGAGGTGAACTGCAGACACATGTGCAGAATTGTGTTGAACAGACAGCCTCTCTGTAATACATGGCTGTAATTCTGCCTCCCTGACCAATTTTGTCATTTAAGGCCTGAAGCTGAAGGCATACTTTCATGCTCTATCCCTCAATTTATTTTCAAAGCTTTATTTCCTGGAGCCGTCTGGCAAATGGTGTGCTGCTGGTACAGTACATGCTTCAGTGCCCACCTGTGCCAAGAATGTGTAGGAATCTCCCTGATCTAGACGAATAGCCAGAAAATATCTTTCCAGGCAGAGGAAGAGATTGCAACATGAATGCTGCAATCGTGTTGCAATCCTCTCAGTTTGTCATTATCTTTTTATGTCAAGCCTCATCGACTATTTTTCACCTGTGTGTCAGGGTTGCAGTTACAGATTGTTTATATACAATCCAGTCTCTACATTGCAAGGCGGTCTGTGTACATACCATTGTTCCTCAATTTCAATAATTTGCAGGAAGCACAGAAATAAATCAGTGTCGGCTCTCATAATGTAATTACCATTGCTACAATCGTAAATCAAGCTGCTGCCAGTCACACAAGTTGGATAAACTTTATTTACACACTCCGCCCGAAACAACAGCTTCTAAACAAGATTACCAGATAGCAGCATCATCCGAAGCAGCTGAAATAACTACACCAAGAGCACTTTGTTTGCAGCCAGAACAGACGACCTAATATGGAGCAGAAATTGAGCCGAGATTCATTTTTGAGTCATATGCCTCATAGACTAGATTATTCAAATGTTGTGTCTGACTGCCAAAGAGCTCCGCATGAAAATAATAATACCCTTGTGACAACCACTCTATCCCTGGCAGCAGCGCAGCTTGTAACCTCTGATAATTATATTGAGAGCCCAAAAGTAATGACAACCCTCCAATGCCACAGAGAGAAAAGACTTTCCTCTTAAAGCAGCAGTGGTCAAACAGTAAATCCGCTGCTCTCTGAAACGCACACATGAGATAATGCTCTGTGAAGCATGTGGTTGCCACAGGCTATATCAGCTTGGAAACGACCGTCTTTCCCTCCCATTGGGCAGTACCTAGGGGAAATGTGACTCTGCTGTGTGGTGTGGTTGGGATTCAGAGAGAGTAAGAAAGTAAAACAAACATTATGTATACTATACGATGTCCTCGCCCTGTAATAAACCGATAGCTTTGCCGTGCAATATTCAGTTAACATTTTTGTACACTACACATTTTCTGGACTCTTCACAGTTAAATGTAAAATATTGGTGGAGACGGCAAACATAAATCCAAAGTGCTGAGCCTGACATTATAAACGGCCTCTCCCTCCCCTTCACACACACTGTCCCTTGCTCACACACACATGCCTCTGGTTGTTGGCGGGGCTTCCACATCAAACAGCACTGTGATAGTGGAGTTTGTACTTTATACCCTGGCAAACACGAGTAACGCGCCTTATCAACACTGAGTGGGATATACACTGAGACAAGCATGGTGCGGCTATTTCATTCTGGGTTTGTTTGAACAGCTGCTAACCCACTTTCTGTTCTCATTCTGTGAAAATTCAACCCTGAAATTGAAATTTTTACAAATAAATAATGGCCACCACTCACTGAGCTATACCTCATTATATGCAATGGGGATTCGATTGAAGTTTTGTGCACACTGTGGCAGTATGAACTGTATTATGTCACTGGACCATAGCATATTAGGATTTTTTTTACAATGTCCCAGCCTGGTGCTGCATTTGAGAAAATGGTAGACTACACAGGCCAAAGATAATCCCTAAACCCAGCCAAGTGGAAAGTCAATAAGGGAATTGTAGAGATGATTGGCAATCTAATGATAACATCCAAATCCAACCTCACACTGACTGCATCTCACAATCTTATAATCCCTTTGCACATGAAAGGTGTCCTTTCCCTCAAGTGTTTCCACCACTGAACCCAGATATAACACATGGAGATGCTTTTCACTTATGGTTAATCCTAAATCATAGCAGCCGCTGGATGGTTCTTTAATGATATGTTTGTTTAATGATTACCAAGCACGTGTGAGATGCAGATGGAGGAAAAAGGAGGATGTCACATTTCCTGGTGGATGTGTTAGAGGTGTTTTAGACAAGATGATGAAAAAAAAAAGTTTGATTTAAACCAAATAAAGGCAGATATTTCAAAGCACACAGACAAGCGCTATTAAAAATACCACAATATTATTATCAGTATTATAATAATAATAATAATAATAATAATAATAATTATTATTATTATTATTATTATTGCTTACGAGCAAAGCCTTTAGTGTCTAGTTTGAGTCTGGGCTATGTGAACTCTTACCAGAAGACACAGATGAACCTGAGAGGCTTGAGTTACTGGATGCTGCCATCCCAGCCCGTTTCACGGCTCGGTTATTCCCGTTTGGCCAAGGTGCGCTCACAGCAGCTCGTCCCCGGCGGTGCCTCCATTTCACTCGCGTCCCAATGTGCTTCACCTTTGACGGCTCTACCGGTGGACTATTTCATGTCTCGTCTAGTCCCGACCCCCACCAGCCGTCTGTCTGAATCTGCCGATCCTTCTCGGCTCGCCGCGCGCCTCGGTGAGGAGCTGGCGCTGCAGCATTCACTGAAGGTGCTGCCGCCACGGATAAAAATAGTCAGACAAGCCACAGGAATATACTCCGTGGATCAGTTCGCCCAAAGCATTTCCCCACACCGGACACGCAGAATCTGTAGGTCTAGATTTGTGCCATGCAGAAATCAGCTATGGTTTCCATGTGCCACTTTAAGGGTTGTAATAAACACTGCAGCGTAGACGCGCCTTCTTAAAGTGAAAGTTTGGAGCAGGGCTGCCAGATGTAAGCAAGCCCGACATGCAAAAGAAAAACCCAAAACAGCAGACTTCAGCTCTGATTTCAGAATCAAAAACACACATTAAGTTTTGTGTTGAAACCTCGACTTCATAAGCCATTCATGCAGAGGCCCAACTGGCTGAACCACATTGTTCCAGCTTTGGCACAGTTTCATTAGATGTCATGTTATGTCATGTTATGCTGAAAAAGCCAGAATGAATGTCAGTGTTTTTTGCGCCATCTGGTGGGGCTGCTTCCCCCACTTTTCTCCAAGACCACAAACAAAAAGATGGATGTAGTGTCTGTGGTATTAACTACGGATTTTGAAGGGAGGGTTTGAAGCCCCCTCAATTTCCTATTCATGCCTTTCTGCTACTTTCACTGTTTCTTCTTGTATTTAGGAACAACTTGGGTTGGCTGCTCTCAGTTTTATTTTGCTTGTCACCAACAGGTTGCTTGTTTAATCACTGGAGTGCAGGATAAATCTGGGCAGTTAACTGACAGCGTGGTACTCCTTTCTCTATGATTACCACTGCTGAGATGCCCTTGAAAAAGACACTAAAGCCACAAATGCTCCAGTGCAGATGTTCAGTGGCCAACAGATAGGACTGTGTGGTTGTAGTGGGCAGCTTCCAGATCAGAGTGTGCAACTAAACTGTTGAGCAAATATAGGTTACAAAAACGTAACTGAGTGTGATTGCCTATCAAATATGCCCCAAAACATACCTATTTTAAAGCCTTCCCAGACTTTTTAAATTGCCAACAAGTCGGGCGTAATAAAAAGCGAATTCACCTATTAATACACAGCTGTGTAAGCATCAGACAAGTGTGCTGCAGCCTTCATCTCCTCACCTGTTCACATGTGCTGTCACATCACAGTCCACAATCTTCTCCCCAGCTGTGAGTAGCTTCAAAGCCACTGTGCATTGTATTGTAATACAAGTGTCTGTCAACACCACACTCAGCTAATATTGAAGCTCTTCTGCCCCCTAGTGGCCAAACATTAATACCTGCAGCTTTAAAATCCCAGCATTTATACTAAAATCACTGTTTGATTAGGTGCTGGTGGACACTAATGGCTTTTTTAAGGGCAAGCATTCTGACCTTCATAGCAGGACACACACATAGTATTAACATTTATAATGAGTTGTCTCTATTTGTGTCTCACAGTTGCAGGTTTCTGTTGTGTATGCTGGCTTATAGGTGTTTTTCACAGAAGACATTTTAACATGGCACAGTAGGAAAAGCATAGAAGCAAAAGAACAAATGAATGATGGTTGAATTCCATTGAGCTACTTCAGTTTATGGCATGCTGGCTCACTGTCACAGCTTACTGGGACAAACTGCAATCATTGTTAAAGTTGTTAATGTGCTTTTCCTACGATGACAAGTTAAAATACCGTCTGTGAAAAAGACCTATAATAATACTAATATAATAGCTTTTACAATAAAAAGAAAAAAAGAAAATAAATTCAGAGTGGTTTTAGTATACATGGTAGCGTTTTTAAGGCTGCATCAGTGACTAAATTGACTGACACACAGCCCTAACATTCAGTATTACCAACATAAGTCATTCTGGCTAACATACTGGCAACAAAAATACCAACTTACACATTCAGCAGACATGGAGCGACATTATCATCCCACCGGAGTTGTGTGTCTGGCCACCTGATGAATCCAAACCCATTGTTCAGTGGTCTTTTTGCTCCAATTTGGTCTCCTCAACTCCTGAAAAATACATATGTACATTATGTACTTAGCTGGTTGTTAACCTCTGTCTGTCATCTGGTGCTGGGCAGACAACGCAACTTTAAATGTGCGCCAGTGTTGAGAATCATTTTCCTGTTGCGGAGATTCGACTTTGGGGTATTTTTGCTTGGGTGTCCCAGCCTATCACAGCCTACCCAAATGTTTATTCTCTAGTTTCAGGATGACAGTGAGAAGCAAAGCCAAACCATGTGTCCCAGTTTTTATGCTACCTAATTATACAGTATAAAGTGTACAGAGGGCTTTCAAATGCTGACTGAGCATTACACTGGCAGTGAGTTCACAGGCACCACTTTAACACTTTGTGCTCAGGGGGAAATAATACAAGGTGTGTGCTTAAATTAAACTATGAATACAACTGCCCCATTTAAAACATGACATTTTAAACATTTGTACAAAAGGCTAATTTATTCATTCAAGGATTTATTACTATATTTATCTGTTTTGTGAACTGTCACCAGCATCAGAGCTGTACACTTTCATTTAACTTTCTCCAGTTGTATCATTTGCAATATGGGACACTGAGAAAGCAAGTGATTTTATTTTTTAAAGGTCCAGTGTGTGGGATTTAGGGAGAACATATTGGCAGAAACATAATATATTGTTTATTACAATAGTAGTGTGTGTGTATATATATATGTATATACAGTACAGGCCAAAAGTTTGGACACACCTTCTCATTCAATGCGTTTTCTTTATTTTCATGACTATTTACATTGTAGATTCTCACTGAAGGCATCAAAACTATGAATGAACACATGTGGAGTTATGTACTTAACAAAAAAAGGTGAAATAACTGAAAACATGTTTTATATTCTAGTTTCTTCAAAATAGCCACCCTTTGCTCTGATTACTGCTTTGCACACTCTTGGCATTCTCTCCATGAGCTTCAAGAGGTAGTCACCTGAAATGGTTTCCACTTCACAGGTGTGCCTTATCAGGGTTAATTAGTGGAATTTCTTGCTTTATCAATGGGGTTGGGACCATCAGTTGTGTTGTGCAGAAGTCAGGTTAATACACAGCCGACAGCCCTATTGGACAACTGTTAAAATTCATATTATGGCAAGAACCAATCAGCTAACTAAAGAAAAACCAGTGGCCATCATTACTTTAAGAAATGAAGGTCAGTCAGTCCTGAAAATTGCAAAAACTTTAAATGTGTCCCCAAGTGGAGTCGCAAAAACCATCAAGCGCTACAACGAAACTGGCACACATGAGGACCGACCCAGGAAAGGAAGACCAAGAGTCACCTCTGCTTCTGAGGATACGTTCATCCGAGTCACCAGCCTCAGAAATCGCAAGTTAACAGCAGCTCAGATCAGAGACCAGATGAATGCTACACAGAGTTCTAGCAGCAGACCCATCTCTAGAACAACTGTTAAGAGGAGACTGCGCGAATCAGGCCTTCATGGTCAAATAGCTGCTAGGAAACCACTGCTAAGGAGAGGCAACAAGCAGAAGAGATTTGTTTGGGCCAAGAAACACAAGGAATGGACATTAGACCAGTGGAAATCTGTGCTTTGGTCTGATGAGTCCAAATTTGAGATCTTTGGTTCCAACCGCCGTGTCTTTGTGAGACGCAGAAAAGGTGAACGGATGGATTCCACATGCCTGGTTCCCACTGTGAAGCATGGAGGAGGAGGTGTGATGGTGTGGGGGTGTTTTGCTGGTGACACTGTTGGGGATTTATTCAAAATTGAAGGCACACTGAACCAGCATGGCTACCACAGCATCCTGCAGCGACATGCCATCCCATCCGGTTTGCGTTTAGTTGGACGATCATTTATTTTTCAACAGGACAATGACCCCAAACACACCTCCATGCTGTGTAAGGGCTATTTGACCAAGAAGGAGAGTGATGGAGTGCTGCGGCAGATGACCTGGCCTCCACAGTCACCAGACCTGAACCCAATCGAGATGGTTTGGGGTGAGCTGGACCGCAGAGTGAAGGCAAAGGGGCCAACAAGTGCTAAACACCTCTGGGAACTCCTTCAAGACTGTTGGAAAACCACTTCAGGTGACTACCTCTTGAAGCTCATTGAGAGAATGCCAAGAGTGTGCAAAGCAGTAATCAGAGCAAAGGGTGGCTATTTTGAAGAAACTAGAATATCAAACATGTTTTCAGTTATTTCACCTTTTTTTGTTAAGTACATAACTCCACATGTGTTCATTCATAGTTTTGATGCCTTCAGTGAGAATCTACAATGTAAATAGTCATGAAAATAAAGAAAACGCATTGAATGAGAAGGTGTGTCCAAACTTTTGGCCTGTACTGTATATATATAGTTTATAACCACCTTTTTTTGTTTTCGTTACCTTAGAATGAGCTGTTTATATCCACATATGGAGCAGGTCCTCGTCTACAGAGATCACCATGTTGCACCACCAGAAGAGGAAGATATACTTAATTAGTCCCCGAGAGAACATTAAATTTTTTCACCCTGTTGTCATGTACACACAGGCCCCAAATACACACACATGCACAAACAGGACCTATAGGCCTACATGCATTAAACAGAGAGACGTCAGATCAAGGACAGGCACCCTGAGCAGTTGGGGTTTTGGTGCCTGCTCAAGGGTACCTCGACAGTGCGCCGGAGGTGCACCTCTCTCTGCACCTATACAGACCTTGTTCCCAACCTAAGGCCCTATAGACAGAGCTACTGCCACACCAAGAGCATCATATAAACATAGCCTTTTTGACGTGAAACTGCTTTTATCAGTCTTTCTACGAGTTAAAATCACCAGGTTCATTTTTGAGAGACAGAGACCTCTGCTAATGATTCGGCTCCTGATAAAAACCTCCACAATGTCTGGATCTTAAGTTGTCCGAGTAAAAAGGTGAGCACACATTAGCAGGCACTGAGCAAGCGGCCCATCTCCAACATACAAAACACTGTAGGAGAAACACTGACTTGTATTGTGACACTGCTTTATTCATTGTTTTTACTAGTTTCATTTACCTGCTCTGGTTGTTTTGTAGAGGAGGATACCTCTGCAGATAATTTGACTCAAAGTAAAAATGCCCTACACATCTGGACCAAAAATAAGGTAAGCACACATTTTGTTATCAGAGAAAAAAAGGTGAGCACTCATATGGAAGTTCTAGGCTAGTGCCCAGTCTCACACACACACACCAAACATTGTAGAAGAAACACTGAATTGTAACATTAAACTACTTTAGTCGGTGTTTATACTGGTTTATATCATTGGTCCATTTGTTTTGGGGAAGAGGAGACCCCTGCGGATAATTCAGCTTAAACTCGTAAACTCATCCTGAGCAATGAACACTGAAGGAATTTGAAGATGTTCCAGCTGGTTGCAATCTGCAATTCACCGCTAGATGCCACTAAAACCTGCTAATGTTACACAGCGGACCTTTAATGTTTCAATTAATGTTTCAATTTTCTTTGGTGAACATATACACACATACATATTTAACGTCAAAACTATCCTTCTAAATCATACACTGTATAAGTATACATAATAATACTATAAAACGTTACAGTCTATGCTTCTTACTTGTTAGCTTTGTGTCCCATTTGTTTGTCTAGCCGTTGTACTCAGCAGCACCTGTCTTAAAACAGCATTCACAGTTTACTCACCAGGTCAGTCTAACCTGTTTTGAAATATGGCCGTGTTCAGCAGCTGTTTTAGCACCAAAAACATTCATTTTTTTCTCTTTTAGGCAACTTCAAGAAGCAGGACGTTGCCTGCAAGACCGTGCTGAGGGTTTACAACGCCGGTAGCTAGAACTACGACCACGTGACGCAATATGTCATATGGCCTACGGAGAGCTGGTCATGTGACTCATCTTATCATGTTCACACATAACTCAGTCCACAGCTGACCAACTTCTGGACGTCTTTCTGAATAAGGGCTGAAATTTATCCCGTTGCCATAGAAACGACGGTGAACATGAGGTGAGTTTTAACAAATTAAAAGTGTTTTTTCCCACTACTTCCGGGTGCTTTCAGGCTCGCGCTGTGCTTGTGGTCAGACTGTTTTGAAATGTGAGTGACTTTGCGATGTTTGAGGTTCACTGAGGGCAGACCTGAGTCCTGTAGTCTGATATGGGTTTTGTAACTATGGGCAGGCTGTGGAGGAGGACTCTGGGTGTCCTCTTACTGTGGGCCTGTCTGGACTCCGCACTCTCCCGAGGCTGCTCCTCGTTTTTCTGCCGAAAATCTCACCGTGTCAGCGGCCTGAATGGAGTCGACCCCGGGTCTCCTCTCTTCCTCACTCCCTACCTGGAGAAGGGAGCCATAGACGAAGGTATAAGTGCACCCACATTGTATAACACTACTAAAACACTGCAGTCAGCTGGACTCATGTTTATAGTGTTATAATGATCACATCTTTTTCTTACAGCCAGGAAACTGAGTCTGGTAGGAGACCTGCCAGGTGCCAACGTCAAGAGCTATGCAGGGTACCTCACTGTCAACAAGAAATACAACAGCAACCTCTTCTTCTGGTTCTTCCCTGCACTGATGGTAGGCTCAAACTTCTTCTTTACAGCAGGGGCTTTCCTCATTACACAGTTTCATTATTGTCAGTGCTGCAGTTTGGGACAGGATCATAAGAAGGAGGAAGGATTTTTGATATAAATAGTAAATCACGCCCTTGATCTGTTAGAACTCAAAAGAATCACACTTCTGATGCTTTTACTGTGCCCCCTCAGTCAGTTTGTGATAAGGAAGTGCACCTGTGTGTGTTTAGTCAGCTGCAGTGAGTGTGGGAATGTCAGCTATGGTGGTAGACCCGGCTTTGTGTTAGAAGTCAGGTTTTATCAACCAAGGCCGAAAGGAAATAAGGTATTTAGGGGCTTTTTGTGTTGTTAAAGCTATAAATCAGTAACCAATTCCCATATCTGTATTTCATACGTCAGTGTAGCAATATCACATACCTTTTCATGGCACTGAGTGAAAGATCGAGCTTGCAGCCCTGAAGATACACATATTTTTTCAATTTTTTGGACCTCATATTATAGTGCATGACAGTCACTATTTATCTCCTTCAGAATTTACTTGCATTCAGTCCGAGAGATTCTTGTTCAGCCTTACAGTTCATTGTGTGCAGATGCTTCTGTATGTTACAGTTACAAGTTACAGGAGTCGTTGCAGATCCTGTTTTTCCATCTTTTTGTGTCTAAGCGACTAATGGAGACAACAATTTTTGAAACTGTTCCAGTCTTGAGAGACAGCTGCAGCTACAGTGCTTCCCCTCCCACATCTTCCTGCTCCCCACATCCACATTCAGCTCACATAATCTTCTTGTACTTAATGGGTTTTTAAAAAAAAAGTAAAATAAATAATAGAGGCAAATAATAACAACAATAATAGAATAATGATGAAGACAGTATATATGGGTCAATAATTGCATAGGATCAGGCATAATTATACTGTTATTGTCTTGTTTATCAAATGTTACTTTCTGCAAGTGTAAGTAATGAGTGATCTTTTCCGTACAGTACAATTCCTATAGGTTTTGTAACCACACTGCATGAGTAGGGGGTCTCTGGATCCAGCCCGTGAACAGTGATACATTTGATAGGTGCAGTTAATAGAATCTGGAGAACGTAAGTGTGTGCCTGCCCTTCAGTGTCATCTGGTATTACTCCATGTAGCACTACCATGGGGTCCCTGGGCAAATCAGTATAAAATATCCTGTTACATATATGTTGTCCCAATAGGTCGTATGCTTTTGACATGCCCAGAATGTACCGACATAATTAGCTATCACCTCTCTGCATGCCCTCCAGAAAGCACCAGACGCAGAAGCATCAAATTTACATGTTAATTTTGCACTGTTGATTTATGTCCATTAAAAGTGCTTGTTTTTGCCACTGACAGGCTCGGATTGTTATTCTATGTGGGTCGATAACTTAACGGAAAAGATGACACAGAGAAATCAATGTTTCTCCTTACTTTTCGCTTATCTTGTGGACTTTTCTACATTGTTGAAATTAGCTGAATTTTCAGCCATGTCACTGAAAATCTTGTAGATAAGAATAAGATACGCTTTCTGTACTCCAAAACAACAAACACCTCTCCTCTCTCCAACTCTCATTAATGTTTCCACTGTTGTTTTTCCTGATACAGGTCACCTCTCATGACATTTCAAAAAGAAACTTCTCCTTAAGAGAGAAGTAGCAAACAAACTGGGTCAATGAAAGCTAAAGACAAAGTTTCACTTCTCTGTGGCGTCTTTTCTGTAATGTTGTCAGACACTTATAATAACAATATGAGCCTGTCAGGGATAACAACAAGCACTTTTTTTGACAGTACACAATTGTCCAGGTTGAAAAACACCAGAGTCTCCTTTAAAAATCTCTAAAAGTTCCTTAATTTCAGACAAAAACCACCAAAATGTGATAGTCCGGAGTTGATCATTCCATATTAGGTGACAAAAGACACAAGTTTGACATTTTACCTTGACTTGTTTGCCACATCTTTACAATCTGATAAACCTAAACCTGACCCCATTTTAATCTGTATTACTATCACTGGCTGGGAAGTTGAGTGATAACACACAGAAGGTATTTCCTAACCGAGTGTAGTTCGTTCAGTTTTTTTGTTTTTGTCAATAATCTGAAGTCACCACTGGGTGGTGCTGAGATCTCAACTTTCTCTGTGATGCCCTGACTGACAGGCACAGCGAGATGATGCTCCAGTCCTGCTCTGGCTGCAAGGCGGGCCCGGTGGCACCTCCATGTTCGGTCTCTTTGTGGAACACGGACCATATGTGGTGTATAAGAACATGACTGGTAAGAACTGATCAGCAGCATACTCAAACATGCACTGTGTAGTTTGTGTCGGAGCGTTGTTTCTGATCTGCTCATGTTTTGTGTCTTTGCAGTTGGTTTGAGGGAATACGCTTGGACAACGAGATACTCAGTTTTGTACATTGACAATCCAGTAGGTATCATTATTTATCCTCAGACATAAAACACATTTTTCATTCAAGGTTTCTAAGCTCATCTGAACTTTTAATGCTCCTTGAATATTTATGACAAGTCTTCAAGGAATTATTTGTTCTTCTAGGTCGGAACAGGTTTTAGCTTCACTGGTGATGACAAAGGTTTTGCTCAGGACCAGGATGATGTTGGCAGAGATCTGTATAGGTGAGAAAAACTGCCATCCAACTCTAACATATTGTTCTTGTCACTTGGATCTCTAAGTCTGGTGTTTAACTGTTTCTAACTCTTGTCTTTTTTTCAAAGTGCTTTAACACAGTTCTTCCAGATCTTTCCCGAGTATCAGTCCAGTGAGTTTTACGCAACTGGGGAGGTATGTTTTCTTTTCAAGCTTTGTAAATGAATACTGTGGAAATTTATAGCAGTAGCATTACATGCTAACCCATGTAAACCTTCTCTGTCCCCATGCAGTCTTATGCAGGGAAGTATGTTCCAGCTATTTCTTACTACATCCATAAAAATAACCCCACCGCCCAAGTGAAAATTAACTTCAAGGGAATGGCTATTGGTGATGGGCTCTGTGATCCAGAACTGGTGTGTATCTGACAGTGTCTTTAAACGACATCATCATGTCTTACAAATATGTCTGTGTCGTGTAGAAATGAGATACTATTTTATATTTTTTCCATCTCAGATGCTGGGTGGTTATGGTGAGTTCATGTACCAAACAGGCATGATAGACGAACTCCAACGACAGTATGTCGTCCAGCAGACAGACCTCGGGGTTAAACTCATCCAGCAGGAGAAGTGGGTAGAAGCTTTTGAGGTAAGAGATGCCTCTCTCTTGTCAGAATACAAGTCCGTGTTACTTATCATCATTTTTATTATCACAACATTTAACAAATTGTAAAATTGCGAATTAAAACCGAACATGTTGATGACCATTTTGTTAATGTCTGACGTCAGGTTTTTGATAGCTTGCTGAATGGTGATGTGTCACCATATCCCTCCTTCTTCCAAAATGCTACTGGCTGCACCAACTACTTCAACTACATGACATGTCAGGTATGTAGATCACTACCTGTGTGACTTCCAGGAGAAAAAAAATCAAAACTTCATGTTCAAATAGCCTAGGCATTACTTAAAGGGACGGTTTACGCCCAAATCAAACATACATATTTTTCATCTTACTTGTAGTGCTGTTTATCAGTCCAGATTGTTTTGGTGTGAGTTGCCGAGTGTTGGAGATATCAGCTGTAGAGATGTCTGCCTTCTCTCTAATATAATGGAACTACACGACACTCGGCTTGTGGTGCTCAAAGTGCCAAAAATGCATTTGAAGAACTCAACAGCAATGTCTCTTTCCAGACCCCATTACACAAGATAATCCACAGACCTTGTTTTGAGCAGTTTCATGTAGCGACTATTTTCTCTCTACCGAACGACACCTGCTAACCATATCATTGCACAGAAGAAAGCCTGCATCCTGCTAGCTCACCTAGCACCACTGAGCTAGCTAATGTTACAACTTAGTGGAGGAGGACACCAATAATGACACAAGCCTCTCGTTCATGAGTAGATGCACATGGTAGAGACACTGCTGTTGAAATTTTCAAACTTTTTCTTTTTTTTGGTGCTTTGAGCACCACAAGCTGAGTGTCATCTAGTTCCATTATATTCGAGAGAAGGCAGACTTTGATTTTTGGGGTGAACTGTCCCTTTTAAACAACACACAAGCCACTACATTCTGTTATTTTGTGCACCACAGGAGCCTGAAGATCAGGAGTACTTCTCCCAGTTTGTGACCCTGCCAGCTGTGCGACGCGCCATCCATGTGGGAAACCTGACGTTCCATGACGGCTCGCAGGTGGAGAAGCACCTTCTGCAAGATGTCATGAAGAGCATCAAACCGTGGCTCGGGGTGCTGATGGACAACTATAGGGTGAGGGGTGCAGGATTATTCAATGTACAGTGGTAGCATGTTGCTTACACTTGAACAGAGGAAAGTCCCTCTAAAGTCTCTCTAACAGTCTCTCCTTGTTTGCTCTGTTTCTACACACACCCAGGTCTTAATCTACAGTGGTCAGCTGGATGTAATTGTAGCAGCCCCGCTGACTGAGAGGTTCCTGCCCACTGTCAACTGGACTGGGTCGGCTGAGTACAAAACAGCCCCTCGCTTCCACTGGAAGCTTCAGCCCAGTGACACAGAGGTGGCCGGTTATGTGAGACAAGTGAGAGATTTTTACCAGGTGAGCAGACGTGAACAACACTGGCTGAACAATGTGCTCAGTACTCCATGAATACCTGTGTTCAACTCTGTGCTCCGTCCTCGTGTCACGCAGGTCATCATCCGAGGAGGAGGACACATTCTGCCTTATGACCAACCAGCGAGGTCCTTTGACATGATTGACAGATTCCTGTCAACACGGGGCTGGATATGAAGTGTTTTGGTGCTGCAACACAAATGATCAAAGCATTTCCTCTTTATAGAGCGTATTTTTGATTATTGACTGTTGATTTTAGAGACTGTTTGATTGTCTCAGCCAGGGTAAATCAGCACGTTGTTGGATTTGTACATATCTTTGCAGCTGATTTATAGGTTGGACTGAGCTCTGATGCACTGCAAATTAAATACGTTCTCTTAGCCTGGATCCAGATCTGCGAATCGCCGTCCGCATCAGCAACTCAAATATTACAGATTAAACAACAACCACTTCAGCCTGTTGTCAGGCCTGAGTGCTATGGAAATCATTTCATGTCATCATTTTTGTTTGATTGTGTGAAAGGGGGAAGTACAGTTCATATGTCATTCAGTCAGAACATGCTTGATGATGAAACACCTTGAAACTGGAGCTGAATTGTCATGAAATAAAATGTTTTTTTCTAAATCTGAGTGTCTAAATGATCACTGAAGGCTGCCATGATTTTTGCAGTCTAAAAAACTTTTGTAAATTGACTTATGTTGCAGTGTTTTACAGGTGTGGCTGCACCTGTTGTTGAATGGGGTTTCTGCTGTCAAGTATTGGTTAATCAACAAAATGTCCACCAGGGGTCACTGTGCTACAAAGAACTTCCATTGCAAAGCAATTAGAATCAGTATCATCTCCCAAAACTGCTGTGGGCATTCAGTGTAATAAAAAAATAAAAAAGTTAATACTATTACATTTTTTATTATCTTAATTCAGGGCCTTAAAGCAATATTAAAGTACTCAGTATCTCTGATTAAAGGTTAGGGGCAGCTTTGCATGTTGCAACAATACCCACAGCTTGTTAACGTCATTATTTTTGACTTTTGTTGTGGCTTTAAAAATGTATCTGACCTGCTGCAGTGTGCTGTAGTTTTAGTTGGTTATTGTTATGACCGAGTGCCACGTAGTTGTTTGTGTACTAAAGTTAACTGCCATGTTATTTCATCGGGCAACTATCAAGATGTCTAGACAGTTTAATAATTAATGAGTATTCTAAACCTTTAAAGCACTTAACTATTTAATGAGCAGTTATGTCTCAAGGACAAACATCAGGGAAAGTATTGTTGATAGTTTTAGGCGAACAGAAGTTTAATTCTTTAAATATCTGTAAATATTACATTGATGTCTTCGTTATTGTTTTTACTCTGGTTATTTGCACAGGATATAATCGTGTCACTAGATTTCACAGGGTTGGTTCAGGTTACTTTGAAATGTTTTCACCTACTTAATACTAATTACATGGCAATTTTTGTAAGAGATAATGTTATACATTGTATTGGGAGAAAAATGTAATTGGAATATTTTGGGATTACGTCAAAATCAAACATTGCAAATATTGCACCTTACACTAAAATTAAGGATACAGCCATAACAGTTATTATTTTTTCTCTTTAAACATCTCAGAACATTTCCAAGGCAAATAAAATGTATTTTGCATATTCTGCATTTACAGTTGGTCAAATCAGATGACCTTTATAAAAACAGTACTGGCACAAACCACAGGTGTACTGTTCATATTCTGCAACATGAAGGATGCTGTTTGTTCTGTGCAAGTTTTTTTACTCAGAGGTCACATGGAGGTCCTTGCTCTTGAAATGAAAGAGGAGCACTCACTCAAAATGCTGCCATATTTTAAAGACACAATTAAATATGTGGTCAGGTAATCCTCGACGATGTATCTATAACCAAATTACACATTTTTTCTGGGCTGATTACAGTCACTTATTTTTTTGTAATCTGATTACATAATCCTGACATGTAACCTATTCCTACCCAACCCTGGATTTCAATCACAAGTAGTTGTGACATCACATCCCGTCAGTTAGTTGTATGTTACAGAACAAGTGCTTTATTTTCATACCGTAATGTAACTGCAGTGATACTTTAACATCTGTACAAATGCAAAAACAAAAACAAAACGGAGACAATGTCATTACAGGCACAAAGAAAATGTACAAAGTTATGCAGGCAAGAATGGATTCATCAGTTCATTACATATAAACAATGTATTTAAGCGCTGAAATGAGCCTCGACGTACAACAAAGGCAACAAGTGCTATGCGAACATTATTTACAAACATGTACCACACGTTTACTCCCTTCAAAAAGAAAGGTGGTTGCATTACATGTACAGGGTTACAGAAATTAATGACATTATGTACAATATTTATAGTTTTAGATTTAAAATAATACAATTATAACATCATTAATACGTAGGAATTGTTCTCCACCTCACACAGATCCACACAGACGCACTCACACTGCACTTCCATCTGTCCTTTTTTTTTATTTCGTCTGCCTCTGCAGTAACAAATGTCTTTTTCTGAACCCACTGTCAAAAATGAAACTAGAGACTCTCGTATCCAACTTTAAAACAGCAACATCCTCCAAATGATTCCAGTTGAAAGTATTTTGAAGTCACTGCCATAATGTTCACATGCAAGAGGTTAATTTGGAATGGTCTAACAATCTAAATATGGTTTCAAAAACAACCTAAAATAAGGCAAGCTTCAGTTCAAAGGGATGGTACGACAAAGCCCTTTTCAAGAGAATCAACTTCTCCATCTCACTGACACACGTATCAAACTGCACACAGTCTCCAGGGTTAACACGTGACACAAACAGTCCGAATGCCTCAACAAAACTTGAACTTATTATGGGGATAAAGATCTTCAGTTCACATCCTTCATCTTTATTTTCCAGAATAAAAAGGGCACCATCTTAACGGCGCAGGGTCCTTAACTGAGCCTCATCCTACTACAAGAGCTCTAGGTTCCCTTCTTTTATCTACAGACATGTGATGCATGCCAGGCACAGTCTCTCTATAAAGCCAAACACAGTTAAGTTTCTCGCTGGTGTGTGAATAAGGGGGTGGGGGGGATCACTGAGAATTACTCGGACCTTAATATGGCTATTCTACCCTCTGGCGCGACAGAGGACAAAGTGCATAGACAGCTCTGCAATCGCTCCACCTGTCAGTGGAATGTATTTCATCCATCCTACTGTAAAACACAGTGCATTATGGTCATCATGCTAATGAGTTGACATTCCTGGTCATGGGAAAAGAAGGAAAGAGGAGTTACGGTCAATATGAGAAAGAGGTGAAGTTTCAAGGCTGGAAGGGAGATAAAAAAAAAAAAAGGTCACTATTAGTACATCCATCGCTCTGCAGAGGAGGCCTGAGAAAGAGAAGAAGAGAAACTGATGAAGAGGTCAGAGGTCAAATGGAAAGCGGGTGTTTTTCTCCTTGGTCAGCTGGTTTAGCGCTTACATGCAGCAGACACATCCATGACAAAACAACAGAGAAAAATCATTAATAATACACTGACGATGGTTTTGATTGTTTGAAGACAAAGAGTTGCTGTGTACAGAAAGCCAACGTAAGATATTTTTAGGAAATATTCAGGCACATTGTGACATTTTGGAAAGCACAGGCGTAAACTGCTCCTCTTTAAAACACTCTGCCAGTTCTGTGATGCCAGTCAACAACAAAAAATAAAAATAAATCATGCTCATTGTCACTTTCTCACACACTTTTTTGTTTTGCTTTCTTTACGCACCTGCTGAACTTTGTTCTGCAGAGGAAAGAAGGGAAAAAAATATAATATACATAAGTCACACACATACTCAAAACTATGGATCCTAAAATCTGCACAAACACACAAAAAAAGAGGCCTCAATAATTAAAGCTTCAGTTGGTCCTGGAGAGCGGAGGAGTTTGTTTCAACTCCCGAGCTGCCTCACTGGTATCACAGTGTACAGTTCTGTGGCTGTAACAGCATCATATGTCCTTGGGACCAGAGTGGCTTGGCCATGCTGGTCACAGTGTGGACATACAGTAGAGAAGATGATCAATACTGCGATGTATTGCTTCCATTTGATCATGTTTTCACTGCCGTGCTGTATTTTATGACACACTTTAAGAATACCGCTGACAGGGAAAAAGGTTAACAGTCATACACGGATCATTACGCCTGCTTGCATATTCCTGTCTTCAAGACATCATAGTGACATAGTGACAGTTTGACGTTCAAACTTAAAGGCAGCAACATCCCAATCACTTAGTGCCTGTTGCATGCACTCAACACACTGCCCACATGCGATATTCAGAGAATGATGTGACTCATTTTTCAGTCCATTAGGCATACAGAGATGTAAGTTCTGCTAAAAGAGATGACAGTCTGAGGCTTTTTTCACTGTCCTCTGGTTCCATGACCATCATGGTCCATTTTGTACCATTACACAACAGAAAAAGTCACTTAAATGCTGCATGAGATTAGCAAAAACTCCATTTTCACTAAAAGCAAAGATAAAACAGATTTTAAAAAAAAGAAAAGAAAGAAGAACAAACCATAGAACATTTATGCGTTAATAGGGTTGGTCTATAAAAATACATACTGTAGCTACTGTATAAAGAGCAGCCTCACAGGCCTTTGAGGTTTTTCATGATGGAGGGAGAGGGGGGTCAGCATGTACAGCTGGCGACCCTCAGAAAGCAGGGGTAGTAGGGGGAGTTTGGGCTGGGGTTATAGTCTCTCTTGTCCCTAGTGGATGGGGTTAATGTCTGTGCGGTGATTGGTTTGCCCGTGCACACTGCTGCCCCCTACGGTTGTGGTGGAGGTGGTGATGGTGTTGTGCTGAATGACCTGCTGCTGGGAGCATGCTGGCGCTGGACTGCCCGCCGGACTGCTGTCTGGACCTGAGGAGACAGCAGAGACATCAGTCAGGACGGACAACGTGTGTGCAGAGTAGTGTAAATACTGTGACCTTCAAACTGTACGCAGAGGCTTCTAAATATAATATCATGAAATAAATAACATCAAAATAAACACAGACCATATTTCATTGTAAAAAAAAGAAAGCTTTATTAGCAGATAGATTTCAAACACAATCACACACTAAATTCACACCTAAAGTGTCACCTGTCATCCCAAAATAGACCATAAATGGATAGCACAAAAATGGAAAAGTGAATCACTCAATTCCATAAACACGCCTGATGAATTTTGGACACAGTGAAGGTGACATCTGTACACAAGCTAGACTCATTGATGAAAGTCTCTCCCAGCCCAGTCTGGGAGTTGGCTCTCCTCTGTATAAAAGAACCATTCAGCCAACGGGGATGTGAGCCTTATTTTCCTGCACTAAAGCCACACTGGGAGGTGCCTTATCCTAATTACATGGAAATGTCACTTGTATCCGTATCAAAGGGTGGGGCTCTGATGTCATGCCCGGCTGAGCCGAGGCACAGTCCGGTAATCAGTGAGATTTTGGGGCATCCGTGAGAGTTTGGATGCCAATGTGCAGCCTGTGACGTCTTTCTCACGTTGAGTCTCGGCTGCCTCTGTGCGCAGAGGTGCAGTCAGATGGAAAAACAGGTCTCATTCGGGATTCAGACTACCAACTCCCAGTCCAGGCTGACTACCAGAGTGTGCAACACCCATATGTGAAAGGAAGAGTCCTGCCGCAAGTGTGGGAGCTGGATACCAGCACATAGGAGCAAAGAGTCTTGGCAGTCACTCTGTGTCCATCACAGTTCAGTCTGTAGGGTTTAAATCTTTCCTCTGGCAAGACAATTAACGTTTCCCCGCAGTGCTATCCGCACTGTCGGGCTAAGGCACAGAGATGAAGGTGTGTTTTTGGTCAAATTCCCAAGTGTGTGTGTGTGTCTGTGTTTATGTCTGAGCTACTCACTGAGGTAACCTTGGGACTCTTTCTGCATAGTGGTGATGGGACAGTCCTTGTGTGTGAGGAGAAGCTGCTTGAGTTGGGTCACCTCGTTCTTTAGCATGGTCACTTCATTCTGAAATGCAGGAAAAACAAAAGACATCATCCACTGAATCCACAATTAAAGCTTTACTTTTACCCTTCATCACTTGTATGAACAACAAACAGTGTATTCCTATCACAACACAAGGTTTTTATTAATATCTTGCATTGGGCTTCAGTTCTTAAATGAAAACCTGTGCTGCAAATTTGCAACATGGAGTAGAAGTTTTCTTGGGTTCACCCGGACCCTAGGACCTGAGGTCTGGGCTGGGAACCGTACAGGGTTGGGGCCATGTTTTATTATGGTGAGTCGGGTCCAAGTTGGGTCCCCGGTCTGTTTATCATTATGTGTCATATGCGAGTGGATCCGAGAAGAGCCATGATAAGCGGCTTGTGTGTGTAACTTTTGAGATGATTAGGCTGACCTAAGATCCTAAAGTAAGATGAAAAAAACATTGTTGGAGGCAGAGCGAAGGAAATATTGATACTGAGCTGGGAAAATTTAAGAGTTACAGCAGCTAACATCACAACAACAAAAAAATAACTGGCAATAGAGAACAATAAAATAAGATAAAAACAGACGTCTTAAATATTATCAAACATTATACACAGTAAGATGGGACAGAAAAGTATTTTGTTTCCAACATGACAAATATTTTTAGCAATAGAGTGGCTATTTAGTACCAATTTTAATTACTAGATTTGTCAGGTCCATAAAATAAACCCAAGACTCATATGCACTGGATATATATATATATATATATCTATATATATATATATTTAAAAATGATTGGGTCCCTTAGGGTCTCAGAACAAATTACCAGGATTATTAGGGTTTTGGTTCATAGTTTAAGACCTGTAACATGGAGTTTGAAAGATGAGGGCATTTACCAGGCAACAAAAGATGCTGTTCATTTGCATTATGGGAACTGTAGGATCCAGTGTTTTTGGAGATGTGCAGCTTTGATTTTTACCAGCTGACCTTGTCAGTGTTGGACACATATTTATACTCATACCAATCCATCTTACTGCTATTATCTCTGGTGCAAAACAAGATAACATGATAAAGTTCTTGATACGGATTTCAAGTCAAAAATACATGCTGACTGTTGTGAGTAGTATGGTTCATACATGGACAAGTTAAGGGGTTATTGCAGTTTTTAACATCTGAAGTTCATAGTGTACCTGAAGCTGCATGTTGGTCTGAGTGAGCTCTTCTGCTTTCTTCTCTAATGACATCACCCAGACTTTTCTCTTCTGTCTGCATCTTGTTGCTGCCGCTCTATTCCGCTCCAGAAACTTCCGCCGGCGTTCATCCGGATCCTCGTCCACTACTCGCCTGCGCCGTCCGCCACTGGGTGGCGGAGACTGCATCGTCTGCGTGGGCTGCATTTGCTGGGTGGCAGGCGACATCTGAAACATGGGGCGGGAAAGATATCAGCATCACTGATGAGAGCGTGTCTGTCTGCCACCACTCAACCAGACATGTAACTATTCTGACACACCTGGAAAACAGCCAGCCACCTGTCTGCTGCCCTCAAAGCCTCAAAACAAGCATCTATACATTACCTCCTGCAGCTATTCCATGTCTGGCAACTTCCCCAAAAACAACATCTGGTTGTGCCACGTGCCCTGGGAGCCGGGCTGTGGGCGTCAGGGGTGACAGAGTGAGTGAGTGACTGGGCTGATTCACCCGCCTGCCCACCTTGTTAAAGAGGTGTCAGGAGGCAGTTTTCCACCGCCCACTTCCACTCAGACTAACACCACCAGACACAGTCAAAAGACTTATTTCTAAAACCCTGCGTGCACTGACAGATCTTGACATAAACTTGGCAAGGTCAAGTGTTTTCAGTCTTCAGATCATTACCATTTTTATGAGAACCATGGAAAATACAAGCTGCTTTAATGGCCTCTGTGCATACAGAGAGTGTTGTTTTAATGCCTTAATGATACATTTGGAACATACAGTGAATTGCATTTCTTGATGTCCTTCATCCAAAATACTCGGCATTGCAGAGGCCGTTAGACAATGCAAGGACAAAGTGTCCCACATCATGTTATTTTTATTGCTGTGAGCAATACTTTCAAACTTTCAATTAGAATAAAACCAAAATATATCCACAGCTAAGATGTTCCAGGACTATTAGCCAAGGCTGTCTGGTCATCGTCAGGTCCAGCATTTATAAAACTCTTCTGCACCTGGAGAATGTTGTGGCCACATAATGGCAGCTTGGCAGTGCCGGAAGCCGTGGAGCACAGTTTAAGAGACAGTACTGAGAATCTTTTATAATGGCCACTTTATGGCCTCTTTCTGACCCTTTCCCTCCATGGCAGGCATCTGACACTGACCTGCAGCTGACCAACCTCAAAGGACAAAATTACCTTTGAGACGGTTGCCAGGAAACTACTTGGCATTATGACTGCAGCAAGGGAAAATGTGTTCATCCACTGACTTGCTGTGAATTTAGAGTCCGGGTAAAGTAAAATAAGAGATTTCTTTCTAAACACATTATACATGCTAGGAAATACTAACTGAAGAAATGTGAAAAGACTGTGAATGATACAGTACTGAATTGTAGTGTTAGACACTGTCTTTCACAGTTTCTGTGTCCAGGATTTTTTGGGCAAGCCCAAAATCATGGCTCAATGATGCACTGGAACCATCCAACGTCATAGAGAGCATGGCATCAGTGTCATCACATGCTTCCCTTGTGTGTGAGCAGAGAGTTCGTTACGTTCAATAAGCTCTCCTGGCTAACCCCCCTTAGTCTAATAAATACGTGAATAAATACATCTGTTTAATGCTACAATCATATAAACACAAGCAAAAAAGCTGTCACTAGCGTATATTTCTGTCTTTTAGCCTAAATCAGCTACCTAGCCTGCCAGCAGTTACTGATCACCGCTGTAGGTGTGTGCTTTGTGCTAACATTAGCTGCTGAACTAGAGGCTGTCGTTGCACAGCAGTTCGTTCTTTGGCTCAGAGAGTGGGTGTGCTTTGTGCTACTTGGTTAGCTGCTGAACGAGAACTTTTTGATGCTGTTAGCTGCTAGCGAGAGTCTGTTGGTTCACAGTGGCTTGTTCTTTAGCTCAGTTCCTTCAGCGAACACACCCCCAGCGTCTCAGAACAGAGAATACTGCTCATTTTTCCACGATATTCAAACCTAATTTCACATACTTCACTATTTTTTCTATTCAAGAATTAAAATTTTGCTAGTGACACATTTTTCTGTGGTGTGACAAACTCATAACACATATTATTTTTGCTTTACCTGCACTTTAAAGCTTAATTTTAGCTTTACTGTACTGTGATAAACTGCACCACTAATAACTGACTTCAAAACTGCTCACAGGTCTACTAAAGTGCTGCCTGTGTGTTTTGGCCACAACATACATATATGATATACAGTGGCTTATGAGAGGTTTAAATGTGCAGTGTAGTTAATGTGTTATTGAACTTGTGGTGCAGCCTTTCGACTGACTAAAAGCCTCGGCTCTCCAGGGAGTGTGTTTTGCTTACATGTGAAGCAGAGTGCATTGGAGGGTGCGGTGAGGTCTGGTGTGGGTGCCCAGGATGGAGGTGAGGATTGTGGGAGTTGTGATGGGGGTTGTGTCCCTGTGGGTGGTGGTGTCCACCCTGGCCGTGGCCCTGGCTGTGGTGGTGGTGGCCGTGGTGCTGGTAAGCGTGGGGAGGGGCTTGCAGGTGCTGGTGCGGGTGCGAGTGCATGTGATGGTGGGTGCCCTGCTCCTGCCGCGATGACATCATCTCCATCATGTGGCCCATGGAGTTCATGTTGCCGTTGGCGATGGCACTCGGGTGGTGTGAAAGTGCAGCCTTCAGCCTCTGAGTGGACAAAATGGACAGCAAGCACAATGTTTAACATAATTTTCTGTAAAAAATATATTTAAAAACTCTGCACATGCTCTCATCTATCGGCGTGCTGATTATCAACAGTTACAGAGCAGGTTCATGTGCTGACTAGGAGATGATGAATGGCTCCATAAATCCATATGTCAGAAGAACAAATCAAAACCACTTAGGCTGTCCTCTGTCTCTCCTTCAGTCTTGTCACTCTCCTGCTTTACCTTCTGTGATTGCCATCCCACCAGTCCCTCCTCCTCATATCCCTAATAGCCTCTCTCTCCTCTGTGCACATGTGTGTGTGTGTGTCTGGATGTCTGCCCATGAGATGAGCTTGCTGGCAAGGTGTGAGTCTCAGACTGCTCCCTTCCTGTTGACCCAGCAGGAGGTTTGTTGCTTTAACCGTGTGGTCTACTTAGCCCTGACTGCACTGGTGTCTCAGCACGGCCTGGGAGCAAGACTAGAGAGAGGCTCTCTAAAGGTGCGCTTGTGTTCCTTCTGTTTACCGAATGCTTCTCTCCTCAGGAGTCTGTTTTTATGGGCATCACATAAAGACGACCGCGAGACCAGGAAAAAAGAAAAATCCTAACCAAAACATGTAAGTGCCAAAATATGTCATCAGACTTCATCGGTTGTACACAAACCTAGACAAAATAAAACAATCCATGTCTGAACTCCTAAATGACCTATTTATATTTGAACCACTTTTAGAATAACAGCTTGAGAGAGTGTTGAGACAGCTGGACTTTGATCAGGGTTCCTACAGCTTAAAGTGACTTAGATTTAAGACTATTTAATGCCGTTTGGAATTAAATTTAAGACCAATTTTACGATAACCAAACCTGAAGAAAAAAAAAACATTAACCAACATCATCAATTTTGCCAAAATGTTTGGAGACAAGGGTAGAACAGAACTGGGAAATTGCTGGCGTTTGTTGTTGAGTCCTGCTTTGCAGTTTTGTGCATGTGGGATTCCACAGCCTGACTTCCATCATGCCAAGTTCGAAAACAAATAGTTTTTGCATAATAAAATACACTGAGCCTTGTATACATTGCTTAGTTCTATTTTAGCCATGGCACGAAATCTTAGTTAAATAGCCAGTTTTCATTGAATTGGTACTTCACCATGTTGACCAGAGTACAGTGACAGCTAGCTAGCAGTTGTTGGTTCCACTGTCCTGATGTGCATGACGTTAATGCAAGAGGTAATCAGTAAATCATTTTAAGAAAACAGTTGTTACCAATTATTTTGAGATTTTACAACGCAACATCAGAAAAAAAGATTAATAAAATCCTTCTTCATATGTCTGAGCATTTTTAAGACTTATAAAAAATTGATTTAATACATTTTAATACCAACTAAGGCCTTATTTTTAGATTAATAAATCATAAGCCATATAAGACTTTTTAAGGATCTGCAATAACCCTGTTTGATTTATGCATATCTTTTAACCAAGTGCACTGCTAATGTTACTAAATACTTTAATAAACTTGAACAAACGCTAAAGTCCAGTCATACATCCCATCTATAATTTGCCTACTTGTCACTTTGAACAAAACGTTAGCAACACAACTGAAAACAAAGGCATTCATTCCAAGGCTACTGTTGTGAATTCCACAAAGTTTTCTATTCTCTTTCCCAGTGCTCTCTTTCCTCTCTCTGCTCCCTTCCCCCTTCTCCCAGCTGCTGTCAGAGAGTCCACGCTGTGTCCAGGGCTCCATATCTTTTAACAACCTTCACATTCATGATTCCCATAGGGAATGGCATCCAGCTGGTCTGGATCACAACGCTGAGACACGACCAGAGCACAACATCAGCCCTCCACTCCTCTCTCACACTGCTCATGAGTGGAAAGCTTTTTACCAGGGAGGGAGGAGACACAGTCAAATAAATCACCTTAGAAGTAGGACAAAAATGAGCCTCCTGGTTTGTATTATATTTACAGACTGCATATATGTATTCATAAAAGGATTTACTAATAGTCTCATAATCTTAACTTGACTTTTCATCCATAGCTTCCTGATGTAGAAAACTGTACATGAAACCAGCACAGTGAAATTATGACCTTGCCAAGCCTGTTTTGGCTGAGTATAGTTTCTGCTTGTCAGATCAAGGGATGCCTGACATAGTGAAACAGCACTACATTTCTGGAGCTGCATGATTTCATCAGTTAACCCTTGTTGTGAGCGTTATTTTAAATTTCCTCTCTTAATGTTTATCCCCATCTGATCACACCCTAACCCCTGATAGCCACACTCACCACAGCCTCAACTGCCCAAAGTCCCTGACAGGGGTTAAAATACCACAGAATGTGTACACTAACACACAGCAAGCGGCCACAGTCCTGCAGCTGTCCACAGCATCACAGTCATACTGAGACCCACTGAGGGTAACAAAAAGGCAGAGAGAAGGCTCTGGCTTACTGTTATATATTGTAATTATCAATAGTATAAATTCCAGTATGTATATGCTCTAACTTTTTGTACTGAATATCTTTCTATTGTTTAAACATGCAGAGATAACAAACAAGCACCTTAAACAGAAAATGGATTTAAACAAGCTTACAGATATCAATCATAGTCACCAGTGTTGACAAGGACATTTTCCGTGTGTCACAGGATGAATTCTGAGGCTGACAGCCCACACTAAACAACTTCCCTCCAGCCTTCTGCTTGTCAGTCAGCACCAAGAGGCCCACCCCTCTTGTGAAGGAGAAAACCAATCAGAGTATGACTATCTCCTTCCTGCCACTTATTCACAGAGCAGGCAGTCACCTGAATGGACAGGAGCCAAGGGAAGCTGCTGGCTGCCTCTCTACCTCTGTGCTGTGTTTTTAAGGCTATAGTAAAGTTGTCTGTGAGTGGTTAGGATGCTCATCTGACTCCCTGCCAACCAGGCGCCAGGGGAGAAGGACAGAGAGGGTAAAAGGGAGGTGAAGGGGAGCAGTGGGAGAGACAGAGACTTGGGGTGGGGGGGAGATTAGATGGCTTCTAGTGTCTCCTCCCCACACACATCAGCACAAGACAGCTAGTGCTCATTTATCAGTGTCTCTGAGAGCTGTCCAGCTGGCAGCGCAGTGCTATCTGTTTATTAATTGAATTAGCGTGCATCCAAAGAGGCCTAAGTGTGTCAGAGTACAGAGGCAGGTCAAACAGCTGAGGGGCCACTCCAAAAGCCTTAGCGGGGATGATTACAAACCAGACTGAGACAAAGTACAAAAGAGAAGGACCGTGCATGACTATAAGATCACACCAGTTTCACCAAACACAAGTTAAAGAGACAGTTCACCACAAAATCAAAAATACATACTTACATGTTTTGTGAGATCTGCAGAGTGTTGGAGATATCTGCCGTAGAGATGTCCGCCTTCTCTTTAATATGATAGAACAAGATGGAACTCTACTTGTGGTGCTCAAAATACTAATTAAAAACATTTGAAAATTTTATCAGCAATGTCTTTTCCTAGAAATCATGACCTGGTTACTCAAGATAATCCACAGACCGTGTTGTGCGCAGTTTTTATGTAGGTACTACTACTGAACTACACCCACCAACTGCATCACAGTATACTGCATGTTGTAAAGATTGCTGGTGTCCTCCTCGGATGAGCTGTTAGCGTTGGCTAGCTTAGCAGTGCTAACAGTAGGTGCACCCTTCCTTCTGTACTGTGATACGGTTTGTGGGTGCAGTTCAGTACAAAGAAAATAGTTCCTACATGAAACTGCTCACAACAAGGTCTGTGGATTATCTTGGGTAACCAGGTCATGATTTCTGGAAAGAGACATAGCTGATGAGTTTTTCAAATGTATTTTTTGGGCGCCTTGAGCACCACACACAGAGTGCCATCTAGTTCAATTATATTTGAGAGAAGGCAGACATCTCTACGGCCAAACTCTCCAACACTGTGCAACTCACACAAAAACAATATAGATTGATAAATAGCACTACAGGTAAGAAGAAAACATGTATTTTAGATTTAGGGGGCGAACTGTCCCTTTAATATTTACATTGTTGAACCAAGACAACATATCTGACACAAAACCTATCCCACATAAATAGATCTGAGCAATAAAGAAATATAAAGCAAGAAAAGACAACAAACGCATAATTAAATGGCAGGTGTTGTACTTAAATATATATTTTTTTTTCATACTGTGTCAAAAGAGAAAACCCTTACCGTGATAGAAACTTTTTCCTGAGGCTATCTCTGCACAAGTGCCCGCTACTGCTCCAGCTCTCCAGTTAAACCCTACCTCTGCCAAAAACTTAAGTCTTTGTATCCAGAACCACAGTGACGCAACTACGGGACGTTAGCAGAGCGATGATGAGCAGGCTGTGATTCTCAAACACCTTCATCAGCTCCCTAATGACTCTTTAACACACGGTTGTATTTCCCCCAGACTGCGCTAAGCACAAGAACTTAACCACCACATTCATTTTGCTCTTAATAACACACACATACATATACATTTCTCCTGCAGCAACATGGCCGCTACAGAAAACAGTCATTAAATCAGTGCAGGTGTTAGCCTGCGGCGGCACAGGGCGCTCACAGATGGGATGGCACACAGTCTGTGCTGCCACTGTCTGCCCTGCTGTTGTTGAGAATTGGGAAAACACAGCAAAGAGGATGAGCAGTCCATGACACCAGAGAGACATAAAAAACAAGATCTTGGAAGTCTCAAATTAATGAAGACAACAATGGAAAAAAAGGCACTCCGTCTGCCAGTGAAATAAACTCATATATTTATCTTCAAGCAAAGGCAATCAAACAGACCAACACGTACTGTCTTTGGGTCCTCATCAAGAATAAATATATGGTATCATTTCATCTGAAGATGGAGTGCATTGTTTTTTTATGTTGTCTGAATAAATTTGATACTATCGGGATCTTGTTTTCTGTACTTTTCCCCGCCCCAACAAAGAGCACCTGTCGGGCCAGCCATCTGAGCCAAGTAGCACTTCCTCCTACCACTGTAAC